AAATTCATTTGCTTTTTTTCAGTCTTCTTCTTTGGCAGCTTTCTAGCAGTTGGAACTTTGCTCAGGGTTCTCTTTTTGCTCTCAGGGATGTTTCAGTTATATGGGTAGGCAGAGGGAGACAAATATCATGGCATAACAGGGAACTGGCCAGTGATTCCAGTACTTTTGAGCATGTGCAGAATATAACTGATACAACTCCTTAAATGTAAGAGCATAGGCACCTGGCTTCTGGGAGACACATGGTCAACGTGCCTTTGAGAAATATTGAATCATGAAATGACATTCTATAAACTTTCTAATGTGCTAAATGCTTGGCTCATTCCCCGTTATTCATGCCATCAAAACCTTCAGCTTGGCACACTACAATACCCTACTAATTAGTCTCTCTACCTGAAGTCTGTCCCTCCTCTAATCCATTTTATATACTGGTTGCCAGATAGATTAATCTGAAATATTCATAATTCATAACTATGATCATGTAACTATAATGGCTTAAAAATTGCCACTGGCTATGGGAAATATTCCAAATTTACAAAACCTCTGGCTTCAGCCTATCTTGTAAGCCTTTTCTCTTACACTGACCTTGGCTTGCTCTGCAACACAGTTAAACTGGAGCACTTTCAATTTTCTATGCTTTTCCACCTCAATACTTTGCTAACTGTTCTTAGCAACTGCCCTCCTCACCTTTCCTGCTCTTTGACAGTCTATTTTATCCTTCAAACTTCAGCTCAAATGTTACTACTTCCATGGTTTTTTTTTTCCTTTCAGGGAGAAGAAGGGGAGAAGATCTTTCCATTTTCTAAACAAAAATGTACATATTTTATGTGGTATTACTGGGGGTTGGTCAGAGTGGATGCCAGCCATTGATGCCATCCATTTTTGTACTTTCTGCTACTAAATCCAGTTTCTTGAGTTAAAAGATGGTGTTTTATTTATCTGTTTAGGCTCCTCAGTCCTTAGCATATTTTACTTTCACATAGTAGATGTTCAAAAAAAGGCTGTTGAATTGATGATTGAGAAAAAGGGGACAAAATCCAAGGTTTAAAGGTACAACCTAGACAAAAGTATTTATTTTTTTATTTTTTGCTTTTAGGCAATTGGGGTTAAGTGACTTGCCCAGGGTGACACAGCTAGTAAGTGTCAAGTGTTTGGTCTGGGGCTGGATTTGAACTCAGGTCCTCCTAACTTCAGGGCTGGTTCTCTATCCACTGCGCCACCTAGCTGCCCCTGAACCTAGACAAAAGTAAGTGATAATTTTTGGCTGCTTTTCTCTTTAGATAGAAATGCAAAATTTGGAGGACAAGAGGGCATGAAGTCTAAAAAGGAAAGGAAGTATCTCCAATGAGAGAAGACAGAGAATAAGAAAGAGTAGGTAACAACGCAGAAAAACTTTGATGCCTCCAAATTTTCCCTAGCATCAGTTCTATATGGTATAGTTCTCCATTGAAGAATTTGTCTTTCACAACAGCATACCTGCAGTTTAGATGAGAACGTGACATTGAGCTCTATAATGTAGTAGACCAATTACTTATTATTCATAAAATTCTCTTAAATGATGGACAGTTATAAAAGAGATTGATTTACATAGCTATATTGGGTTGTATACAGAATTATCCTCTACCCCAATGCCTAAATGCACTTTGAATTTAGAGAATGAACTCAGAGATAAAACTATGAATCTACAGGATAACAGACTCAATAGAAGTGTAAGAGCAAGTATTACCTCTGACCCACACTTTAACTAACTTCAATACTAGCCCAAAATTAAATTGATTTTTTTTGTGTAGTTGAATGTTTAATACAATACAATCCAAAAGTAGGTTCTGAATGACCTATTCGCATATGATTGGAACATATATAAATGCACATAGCTAAACTTACTTTTAGGCTTCACTCTGTTGCTAAATATTTAGTGAATTACTCCCATCCTTTCCCATTCAATTCCCTTGGATCTCCTGGAAGTTTTTCAATCTCTGAAGGCATGTCAATTTTCTTTGCAAAGCCAGCTATTCTATATTGGCTAAATACAATAATAATAATAAACTAACTAGCATTTACATAGTACTTACAATACACCAGGCACTGTGCTAAACACTTTTCAAATACTATCTCAATCCTTACAACAAAAAAACACTGAAAGGTAGGTACTATTATTTCTCCAATTTAAAATTATGATAACTTAGAGAAACCTAAGTGAAGTGACTTGCTGAAAGTCATACAGCTGGTAGATTTTGAATTTTTGACTTCAACCCCTGTTCTCTAGCCACTGTGCCACCTCGATGTCTTTTAAAAACTAAAATAATTTAATTTAATAGTTTAAAACTAAATAATTCAATCATTTAACAATATTAATTTTATTCTCATTTCCCTCCATTCCCTTCTTTATATTGTACTAGAAGAGGCAACATGGAATAATAAATAGAAAGTTTGGATTAAAGGCAGGTGCTACAAATGCTACAAATGTTATGCATGTTGCTACAAATCCCAACTCTGATAGCTGTTAGCTGTATGACCCTGAGCAAGTCACTGAACCTACTGATGATTTAGGCAACTCTGAAAGACTACCAATCACAGGGAAGGTAATGACTTGAATTGGTAGAAGGACTTTTGTTACCAGGATTGCTGTAACAACGAAATGTCAGGTCTAGTTGCTGTCTCATATTTTATTAGTCATTTCCTAATCAACATCTATGTTTAACTAATCTGAGAATCTCAATAACTTATAAAAAAAATTATCAAATCAAGTTTGGTTGAATAGGTTTCTAACAAGACACACACTGAATTTGCTAAATATTTTTGTTCTTTTTCAAAGACCAGTAATTATCTTATATAAACTTAGAAAGGAAATTAGAAAGGGCTATGTTTTAAAATAGTTTAATCTAGTCTGAATCAATCTAGTTAATCAAAGTTTATCTAGTATTCACATTCTTTTTGCTAGAGGTAATAGTTAATATACATATTTCCTATAGCATTTTGTTAACAGATGGTTCTGTAATTCTTGTCACATTTTCAAATTTGCATATGAAATTGTCACATTTCTGACTTGTTTTTCTTACTCATCAACAACTAGTTTTGAAAAATAAAATTTCTAATCCTAAGAAAGTATTTGACAAATTATTCATCTCACTTTATGAATGCACCTCCCTTGTATTAGGAAGTAAAGTGCAATATGACATTTTATACTGAGAAACAAAAACAATTGATGGGTTGATAAATCATAAGATTCTTTTTATTATAATATAAAATTATTAAAAATGGATTTCATTTTTTTACCAAGACATTATAGATAACAAAATAAAGGAACACCACTTAGGACATTGCTAATTTTGCACAATTAATCCATAGGTGACTTTCCCAAGTACCAACTCAACTCTGTTTGCACATGGCCATTTCTACAAATTCATACACGTATTTTTTTTTAAAAGAAAATAGCCATTAAGCAATTGCTCCAATGCAACAACAGCAGCAGTAGCAACAACAAAAACAATAAAAATCCATTAAAATAAATCTTGCACTACTTGATTTGAACACCTAAATCTTTGGGTAGATCAAATTAATTTCCCATGTAACTTTTCATAAGCATTACACATAAACTTCCAGCTAGCTCTAGTAATGACGATATCTTGTATTTATGTGAAACACTTCAAAAATGAAATGACAATCTTGTTTCATACTAATGTGTTTCAGCATGACCTTAAATACATTTTACAAAATGTTACTACCTTAAAGTTAATGTCATTATTTTGGTAATGCATAGCTTTTGTATTCTAATTCCATCCAATGCAAATATTGTATTTATCTTAAGACCATCATAATGATCTTTATGATTATGTCATACTGGATCAGAATGGGGAGAACCATTACACTCACTTGTAAACCAGAATAATAAATTCTCAAGTGTGATTACAGTTTCAAATTCTATGACACTTATATAAGTAATATATGAGGGCAAAGTTATTGAATTTCATATCTCTAGAAATAGAACAAATTTTCCAAATGCATCAGTATCTATCTATCTATCTATCTATCTATCTATCTATCTATCTATCTATCTATCTATCTGTTTTAACTTATAAATCCAACCATAATTCCAAATGGTTTTCTGTTAAGCATACTACAAAGTTTATATACACCCAACAACCTTCAAAATAAAAATCAAAGCTAAGGGAATATTATTCATTTATTAATTTACAAAATGATGAACAAATTATCTGCATAGTGTAGCTCTATATGAATGTAGCAACGGCAGACTAGGATCAGAATAGTTGGATGATCCAATATCTTTTACTTGCCTATGAGTCCATGTCAAATAGCAGAGAGTTAGAAAACTTATCATTTGATCAGATAAGAAATTAAACCAAAATTTTCCAGCAATTTGGTCTTGGTCTGTTTCACCCCTTTACTATAGTAACAGGTTGAAGGGTTATTTAAAAGACTTATCAAAATATTTCCAATTATAATTCAATTGATTTTGAACAATTTTGTCAAGATTTTTTTTTATGTTTTTAGAAAGAAGGCCTATTATAACTAATTAGGGCAGGAAGTGAACAATTACTAAATTATGATGGACTTGTAAAGAAGGTATACACCTCATCACCTTTTCTACAATATATAATTTTGTTTTAAAATGTTACTATAATACACTAGTACCTATATTGGATCAATTAATATTCAATTGAAAATGGGTAGATATTTGTGTGTTTCAATAAATTTAAGTTATGTGAGAACAGGCATATAGCAGAACCTAAATAAAATAGTTAATATGAAGTACATGAGACAAGGACGTTATTTCTACACCTTCATATCATGGCTAGTCTTGTCAGTGAGCTCTGTTGGGTGTAATGGGTCACATTTTATGGTCTATGTTGTCTTTTTCCATTAGATATATGAAACCTTAACTCCATACTTATAAATGGAACCAAAACAGTTTTGTATACAAGACTAACTAGAGTGCAAACAGAAAAAATATATATGTACTTAATAAAACAAAACTTACTCACCTAACTGGGTCTCCTGAATTGTCAGTTTGCTTTCCAAAGGGTACAAAAGTTTTGGTGGTTTATCTGTCAGTGGAGCTAAAACAAAAAGAAACAAACAGATATCAGTGGTTTATATATAGCACATAATGCAATTGATCTCATCAAGTTTATCCCAAAGTATTGTATCAAAGCACTTTAATTAAAAATAGGTTTCTTATTATAGTAAAAAATCCAGTTAGATAAAGGAAAAGGTGGTTATATTAAACACAACAATTAAAATATCACACTTCTAAGCTGACAGCTAAATAACACTGAATTTTTTAAAGACTGAATAAGCCTTAAAAATATTTTAAAATGACTAAAAAAAGAGGTATTTAACAAATACCCTTCTGTTTCTTCATGGGAGTCCTCATTGTTTCTATTTATAGCTATAGCATAATAAATATAATGACCATAACAAATACTAATGTGATATGAAACCAAATATAGTATAAATATGATATATGACACAATAAAAATAATATATATAATATAACATAGTAACTTATAATGAAATAATAAAACTAAGTATAACATAATATAATATTTAAAAAATAATACAAACCTGCCATATAACTAATATGAATTCAGTGAATGCTTGTTTATGATGGTATCCGAGTCCTCTGATTCTTCAGCACAGATCTCTTTATACTAGACTCTACTGTTTCATAATTATGCCACTCAATCCTCTTATTATATACTTCCTAAAACTTCCTTTTATGAACTAAATAGCAGAATTACATTGTTGTGAGCATACTCAGTCACAAATCCCAGTAAAGCTCTTCTAAAGTGATTTTTATTCAAAGTAAATATTTTAATATTGTTTTGCATCACAAGTGTTATTTATTTATTTATTGTTGTTTTGCTTGATAGGTTCTCACTGAGTACAATCTTGAGAGGTCTTTGCTCTTAGATTCATTCAGTTTACCTAGACATTAGGTCGAAAAATGGATAAAGTATCTAGGTCATTAAGCAAATCTTGCATTTGCTTGAGTAACTAGACTGTAGACAAATAGCCAATTCTCTTTCATTAAGCTTTGTTTTTCTGAGCTGATTTAATTATGTAGGTCCCCTGGAACGTGCCATAAAAATTTCCACTCCTTATCAAGTATGGAGATGATCAATTATGGGTGGCTGAACTAAATGTTTCTACATTGATGACTTTTTTTTTTCTTTGCCAACGTGGCATACCAGCTCAATTGAGGTCTGGAATGCTGATCTAGACAGTAGTACCAGGGTTTGTCCAGAATTCCTCACTTGCAGAAGAATCAAGAGTTAAAGCTGATCCATCAAATATCTTCCATCAGTTTAACAAGAGCATAGCTTGGACAAAACGATAAATCATCATAATTCACTTGAAAATATGAACCCATTTCAAACTGGTTTAGGTCAACATTGTAGGAATAACCTTTAAAACTGAATGGAATCAAATATTTACCCTTCTTTGAAATTTATTCTGAATGTGCTTTCATTTCTATTTTGTAATGATTAAGATAGGGAGACAAAGAGAAACCTGGTGGAGTTGGTGAACCACAATATTTATTAATGGAATTGGGGCAGCTTATACCCACAGACACATCCCACTGTTTCCTTACAGATTCCAACTGACCGCTTTTATCCTCTCTACTAAATGTCATTTTGCTGAATCACTGAACATTAGCAGAGTAGGTCTCTCATTCTCTGAAAATTATACTATTATAGGATGGAGCTAGAAGAGACTTTCTTTGTAAGTGGATTGTCAAGTTCAACCACCTCATTTTTCAGATGAAAGAGGCAATTCTCTGAGAGCTGAGTAGCATGGTAATGCTTCTGAGATCCTAGACTCTCAATTTATGCTAATGGATTTCAAAGTGGACTAAGGTTATATTTACCAGGATTAAAAAGAGCTGGTTAATTTAATCAATTAAATTTGCAAAATAATTTAATGATATAAAATTAATAAGTTAAATGGATTGAATAGTATTAAGTAGAACTTCCACAAAGCTATATATTTTTTTTATTGCACAGATACACTAAAGAAAAAATTACTGGCCAGCAATTATAAGTTAAGTAAAATCTATTAAGAACATATATTTATTATCATTCATTCATTCATTCATTCATTTATTTATTTATATAAACACAAATATATGTATACATACATGTATATATGTACATATACATATATAAACATAATGTAATAAACATATACGTAACTATTAATATTTAATGCATAAATATCACACAATATAACTATATTAAATACATAAATGCATGTATTATATATTTCCATATCTATATGTAAACATTGGACAAAGTGTGTTGTATATCTATTGAGATCTGTACCTATCTGTCTATCAATCAATCTATCTATCTATCTATCTATCTATCTATCTATCTATCTATCTATCTACCTATATCTGCAACTCAGTTATAAAATATTCCAAGAAAGTCAATAGTCAACAAATATTTACTAAGTGCATACTTTTCTTATTTGTATCCCCAGGATATTAGTAAGCTCAGGTATCCCAGGTATTATGCTGGGGATACAAATAAGAAAAAGACTAGATAATCTCTGACCTCAAGAGAAGTATACAATCTAATAGGAGAGGGCAATAACAAAAAGAAAACTGAAATGGAAATAATGCTACAGGGGTATGAGCTTAATGAGTTAAAAACAAGCAAAGCAACTGTTGGGAAATAAAGTTAACTGGAAAATTCTGAGCCACCTATAAAGGGGAAGTTTAATAATCATTTCTGGGATGAAATAATATCTATTCCTGAGATGTCATATATAACAATTGTGGACAGAACTGTGATAGCCAAGTCGGAGGACCTGGTTTCAAATCCCAGCTTTTCTAACTGCTACCTTATAATTTTGGGCAAATTCGATCCCTTTATGTGCTTCAGTTGCCTCAATTAAAAAAAAAGATTTGGCTAATGATAATGGTTTAAGAACCATTTCATTCACGTAATGCTGCTGACACATTCAATCTCATAATTTACAGTTTAAGACAGTCTAAATCCTAAGAACCTCATTATCTAAGCATTTTTAAATAGAAGAGTTACTATGACCTTAACCACTAAAATGATTTTCTTTTCTAGATTATTTATCACCTTGAATATACATATGAATGGAAACTTCCAGAGAAGCAGTAGCTTAACAATTGGATTAGACAAAGCAGTAACTCATGAAGCTAAGATTCGAGTGCACACCTACTCTAGGGTGACAATTTTGCTATCTCAGTTGATGAACACGTATCAAGGTATTAACAAATTCAATTCTTGATGCAGAAAACCAAATTGAATTTTAAAAAAATTAAGCAACAGGAAAGACACAAACCCTGTCTTTAACTCATTTCTTCAAGGTTCAACATATAATTGAAAGAAATTTCAAGAAAATCACTTCCAAATAAACAAAAATGAAATTATTTGCATCAGACTATGACCAGACCAATGAACATTAATATAGATATATATAAAAACCAGTAGGCCTTTGGGGATATTTCATGTATGTTTGAAGATCCTATGAACCTATCCATTTATATATTATACACATATATGATTTTATATGTATTATTTAATAACTTACTAGAATTCACTATGAATATATAAGTACATATTATATGTGGGTAGAGGTAGATATATACATACATACACACATATATTTATACACATATACATATATGTCCATGTATAGCCACACAATCTCTATTTTCCTCTATATATGTATATGTACATATTCATGCATGCATACATACATACATGTATCATTTTATCTATCCATCTGTTTCCACATACACATAACCACATAACTAGATAGACAATTCTTGCTTTCAAAAACAATTTAAATTAATTAGGGGGAGACCATGGGCACAAGAAAGTTCAGCTACAGGGCAGATGGAAAAAACCAAAATTCCCCAGGACACAGCAGAGTCAGCAGGAAACGTGTAGAGGTCCTTTGGTTATATCATGTAGGTCAGATGAGGGGTATGATTGTGGCAGTAGACTACAGGGGAGGAGAAGCAGGGCAGATGCTAAGATCCTTCATCTCACCAGAAATAATAGAGAATGCTTCCCATTTCATCCAAGGTATGCAAGTCATGGAGCCTTTATGGCTTCTGGGCAGCTCCAATTCAAAGAAGGGGATAAAGGGGAATGGAAAGAGGAAGACATCCCAGAGATGGTGATTCTTCCCATAGTCTAGTCATTTTGGATGGATTCTCTGACTCCCCAGAGCCAGGGGAAGAATATATTCTTTGATGAATTAGGGCCAGAAGAAGGGGTAAGAGAGTAAGTACTATTAATATGAAACTCCTCCTAGCCACAACTAAATCTACCAATTAAAACTGATTCCCAAACAGGTTTTAGATGCTTATACAATTGACAAAAGAAGTGGTTTAAGAACCATTTCATTCGTGTAATGCTGTTGACATATTCAATCTCATAATTTACATTTTAAGATAGCCTAAAAGTAGATGTCTTATAGGAATCTGGATAACTCAGGCTCAAATGAATTCAGAATTGTCTTCCATTTATGCTTTTTGCCATGTTGTATATTAATATTAGTTTCCACTAATGTTGTCTAGACTTTGTGACATCTATAACAATCAGAAGCAAATTTATGCTGTAAAGGAATGTAGAAAAACTCACCAAAGGATACATGTACACACACACACACAAATACATATTTACATTTGTCATCTACACCCCCAAAATATCAAGAGTTTCCTCTTTTGTAGTATGTGAATTTCACAACTCGAGGATGTTGATGCTTTATACACCATTTTCAAGGGGGGAGGGCCATGAATGCAAATGAATGTGTCCTTAAAGTTACAAATTATGCCCAAACTTCTAGAGTATAATAAAATATACCATTAGATGCAGAATTGTACCATAGCACAGAAGTAATGTTTCCCTTAATTGGGATAATGTATTAAACATATTCAAAGCAAACTAGTTTAAGCAATTATCTTTATAGTTGGCATAACTGTTTTTGTTGCAGCCTGTTCCCTCATTCCTATTAACATAGTTAGACAATGTAGATAAGAACAATAAAACTTAAAATCATTCTTGTA